CCCTTCTTTCTCTATCTCTCTCCTTGCGTCGGGTTCTTCCACGCCGCCGGTCATATCGTCGCACCCCGCCTTCCTCCCTTACCCCTCCCTCCCACCACCCCTCTCTGTCGGTGCAAACGCTTCCCGGCACAACAACAACATTCCTTCTCCTCCATAACCCCTTCGTAGCGCGGAGACTCTGGCTACCAGACTCTTCTCTCTTTCTCTCTCTTTTTCTTCTTCTCTCCTTCTCTTTCCTCTTGTTTTTCCTTCGTCGTGTGTTCTTCTTCTTCCTCATCTTCTCGCGTGGCGTCTTCGCGCGGGTGAGAGGAAGAGACGGAAAGCCGCGCGTTGTTGAACGGCTCCGCAAAACTGGTCGCCCGCGAATCGCATGTCCATCCGATCGACCTGGAGATGCCCATCGGAGCAAGTTTGCGCCGCGCAGTTTCGCGGCAGTATCTCTCGTTCGATACCCGCGACATACCGATTCGATCTCTTTCTTTCCCGGGGTGTCGAAATCTCGCGCGAGAAAAATTGGAGCGAAAGTCGGTGAGTCTAGTCTCTGGCTCTCTCAACCGCTGCTTACTTCGCCTGAAATCCTGAACGTGGATTAAATCGATGGGAAAGATTAATATATTAAAAGAAATTTATATTAAATTAAAATTAAAAAATTATTAAAGTTTACTTTTTATCTATCTTAAAAAAAAATCTATGACGTCACAAATATAAGAGTATTGAATACGAAACAATTTTTCTCATTTAACTTCCAATAAAACCAAATTTCTTCGATAAGAAAATCTTATCGATAAGACTTTTATGAAAGACTATATCGACTTTTTAGCATCTCCCATTGTAATTGTCACGTGATAACAAATCAGTCGATCAAGAAGGGCGATTGCAACCTAATTAGAGATCAGAGTCCCCTCGCAATTAATTAACGGATTTTATTGTCATCGATCGTGCTCGTTATCTCTCTTCTGTCGTCGAAAATGAAAAATTCTTCCACGCGCTACGGGCTGCACCTGCTCAGCTTTCTACTAGCGGGGAATTCAAAGACAGCGCGATCTTATCGGGCTGTATACAAGGCTTAAACCTGCGGAATGTTTTCAGGAGGGTACGTGCTAGGACAGGTGTCGGCAGAGACTAAGGAGAGCCCAGGAGGCGGTCATCGTGCCGGCCACCGAAATATTTGTTCACTGTAATAAAAAAGAGCCCGCGCGCGCGTCTGTCCTTGCTCTTTTCTTTAGATCCTCTGTCGTTCACTCGCTTTCTTCTACAACATTTGATGCGTAGCCAGTAACACGTTCTGATCCCTTTTCTTTCCATCGATTGTGAATAGTGTCTCTCAATCACTCAAACGAGGGATCTCTAGCTCTCTTCTTCCTCTTCTTTATTTCCTGGATTTCCATTCCGTAGGAATACAATACCGTTTCTTCCTGAATTCTTTCTCGATTTCGGTTTCTACAGAAAACTGGCAAAATGACCGCACAACCGATGGTATTTTACTCTGTCAAGTTTAAAATTATCGAAAATTCTTCTTTTTAATGACTGCCATATTTATTTTTTTCGATTCTTTGCGATTTAATTGAAGTTGACTTGTATTTTACCTTTGTTATGCGCAAATGACACATATTTACATGTTTATTAGTTTTATTAGAAAATTCTTTTGCTCAGGTATCCTCTCTCGATTTTGCTTTGTTGCTTTTTTTTTTACTGTATTTACCTGAATAAAATAATGAATTTTTGAAGAGTGTGACGGTGAAAAAATGCACGGTAAAGGAACTTGAATAAATCTACAAGATAAAATCTAACGTCAATATGTCCCGCATACGCAAAACTCATAAACACTATTGGTTTTGTTTCGATTTACGAAGCTTTATTTAAATAATCTTTTAAATGTCATGACTTTTATATGTATTATCAATTTTTAATTCTGTCCTCATGTTTTCAAGCACACATATATTTAAAAGCTTTCATGATGTCGCATTATAAAATTTTTGGATTAATTAGTTTTGCGGTAACCTGACATTTTTATTAGAAAAGTGAATTAATATTTATAGCTGATATTAAAATGCCTTATATTATTTTTTCATTCTTAAAAAACAATCATTACACACAAAAAATATAAATGGCTTTTTTTTATCCTATTGAATTTTTATCGGAAGAAGATCGATCGCTCCTACTTGTTTTTAAAAATCATAATTGTAAAAAAAAAAGAAAGAAAAATCGATTATTTTAAATTATATATACAACTATATAAGATCTTTTTGGCGCGTCAAAATTACGCAATTTTTCCTTTTCCTGCAAATATTTGTGATACATCTAATTACAAACTGAAGATACTGCCACGGAGTTTTTTTAGATTTAATTTTTAATTTATTTAGTATTGAGAGAGGTACTGAAATTGGTCCAGAAAAATTCTCGTATTCTATTTTGATCTTGATCACATAAAAAAATAATTTTAATTTGTCTCGATTATTAAGAATGAATTAATGCGCTAAACGATAATTAAAATGGTTTCTTGATACTGAAAGTTTTATTATTTGCTCGTTGATCAAATAGCAAGAATAAAATAAAAAGATGATTTCTTTCTCGCAATCTTCGCTTTCCTTTTTTAAAGAATCGGCGATTTTCGATTCCCGAGCTCGCATTATCAATGTGTCCAAGTTCCTTTCGACCTTGCAATCCCGCGGCGTATAAAGTCTATCGATATTATGATACCGCAGAGAGGCCATGTCGGCCGTAGTGGTACCTAAAATCATCCCTTCCTTATACATATATATATACACACATTGTATATCTGTATATGTATATATATACATACATATATATATGTCGCTCGCTAGAGGGGGAGGAAGAAAACGCCGTGTTCTTTATCGATCTTCGCGAACTACGGCGATCATGCGCGTGGTAGGCCGTTAGGGAAGTGTCAGCGCCGTGTACTTCAATTTTGGGCCAGAGAGTATCTATGGGTCCGGGCGAAAGCAAGCAACCCAAGTCGTCGTCCAGTGGACACAGGTGGATAAAAGGAACGCTTCTTGGAGGGTGGCAGGCGAGCACGGCGTTTCGCTCAAACATATTGTGTGCCCGAACCAGAGAGAGAGAGAGAAAGAGAAACTTTTGCGCGAAGAAACTCGCGAGGCGAGCGCGCGCGCGCACGCTTGCTCCCGAAAATTCTGCAGGGACGACTTCTTCTTCGTCTTCGTTGTCTTCGTTGCCGCCGCAGCGGTCGGCGGCCATATTTGCGCCAGCATGGTAGGCGTTCACAGGCGGTACCGTCTCGTCCCGCGTTCTCCAACTGCTTTGGAGAACACTTTTGCCCCACTCGCAAGCGCACCGTCGCGTTCCTGGTGGGGCACCGTCGGCGATGTTCCGTTGGTGTCGCCTCCACCACCCGTCATCCATCCCTTCCGCCGTCTCCTCCGCCGCTCGATCCCACTCGCGCGCTTTCCTCGCTTCATCGCTGCGAGAGGGGAGTTCGCCCCGTTGTCCGCAGTGGGGGAGGGGGAAAAGGTTGCGCCGGACGGGGAGGCACGGATGGGGCTTTAGGGTGGTGGGAACAGTAGCGACGTGATCGAACTACAGCGGCGGCGATACTTCGTCTTCCACTTCCTGCTCTTCGTCTTCGATTTCACTCGTCGAGGAGGGCGGCCGGCCGCCTTCATGGCCCGCGATGAGATGGTGCGCTGCCCGCAGAACGTCGTCGTCCCGTCTCGTTTTCCTTGTCCCTACTCGTCCTGGTGCTTGTTTGCCTCGATACTCCGTTTTCTTCTTCTCCTTCTATTTCTTCTTTTTTTTTTTTCGCGGCACGAAGTTTCGATGGACGGCCGTCTTCGAAGCTTAACTCGGTTTATGTATTTAATTATCGAACTTATTCGAGTTCGTTGGAATTTCAGGGAGCCGAATGCGCCGAGATACGGCGCGAACGGCGAGTATGAATAATTGATGAAGATAATCTGCCGCCTTCTTTGTACGTGTGTGCGAAATCCGCGGCGTTTGCTCTTATATTTTCCTCTTAGCGCTTTAACGCTGGGTACACCGTGTGCGCACCCAGATCGTTAAGGTGAACACATGTTGCTTCGTAGTATCTTGTCTCGGTATCTTCATCAGACTCCTTTATCTTCTTTCTTCGGGCTTGATGTTGCTGAAGAGATGTTGATTAAACCGCACTTATATTTATGTATTTAATTATCGAATCGAGCTCGTTGAATTTTTAAATTAAGAACATTTAAGGGGCAGATGAGATAACAGAAATAAAGATCCGAACTTTATATTTGCATCTTCTTTTTAACAATTTAATATTCAACACATTTCTTTACTTGATTCTTAAAATGAAGACGAACTCGAAATGTTCTTGAACATTTTCTATTTACAAAACTAACTAAAGCATTTTCTAAAATGTACAATAAAAGCTAATTAATAAATTGGCGAATAAAATTATGTTAATTATAAGAAACAACAAATAATTTTAATTGTAGGAATAATTATATAAAACAATCGTATATAAGAATGAGAACGAAATGATGGATGACTGGAAAAATATATTTAAAAATAATATAATATATATCTAAATATATATAAAAAACAATGCGAATCTTCATATGATGGCAAGTTAATTTATTAGAAAATCCTATGGGATTTGGTTGCTGGATTTATCGCTTCTTCTCATCGCGATAATTTATATTAATTCTAACTAAATTAAATTCCTTACGCACGAATATAAGGCTCAATAATTATTAGAATAGATATCTATATTGGAAAATTAACGAGCGTTACGATTACTTCAGTAGCTATTCAAATAATGGCTCATTGCACGGTTAATTCGATTAAATTTAATATTATATATTTATCTGTCAAAAGCGTTGCGTTAATGAAGGATTTTTTGTTAATTTAAATTTTCTTTATACACTGCCCGAAAATCAATTGATCTATAATTTTGTATTTCGATACGTTCGAACCAACAGATGATATGCGTAAAGTGACGTCGTCTAATGTATTTGTCTTTATTTCCTGTGTTGCAGGCAAATGGTGGGCCGTATATTGGTGGAAATGTTTCGCGCGGCAGTCAACAATAAACTAACACTGGTCGTCGAGGATGTTATGCAGCATGTACAGCTCATCATCGACGATAATGGTAAGTCACGATCGATCGCCATTATTTTTCAACGCTTAATTTTTACACTTTGAAATGCACATCTTTAAATTGTCTGTGGATCGTATAAATCTGTGGTAGCGTTGTAAATTTCTTTGACATATCTTTTGCAATAATATATTCCTTGAACGTATCAGCAATTTCACGATACTGCTTGTATGCAAAGCTGCGAATGTGAAGAGAATTTTTATCTGTCACTTTTTTTTTTTCAATTTTTTTTATATGTGTCACGTCACTCAGTGAAGATCAATGATGTCGCAAATAAGATTGATTATCGCACATTTTTTTTTTTTTGCACTTTTGAAAATGCCTCATGTGAAAGGATTGGAAACACGTTCATTTCTGAGCCAAATCCTTCGCACCATTCACGCATGTCATAAATGTGATTGGTTGCTTGATTTATATGACTTTGTGCTTTTCTCACTTTAATTTTAACGAGCTTAACAAGAGAAGATTTTGCTTACTGTTTGCATTTTGCATAAATATGTGTCTCCCCCATTATATGAATTATATATTTATTTATAATTGACATAATTTAATTATTAGAAATATGGCGATCATAAAATACGGAATTCTTATGGAGAACAATTTTAAGATGCATATATGTTATCGAAATGGAAAGGATAATATCGTTTTAATATTTTTTAATCGCGATGTCAGCCAAATATCGATTTCCACGATGTTCATAGTGTTATTGATTGTATGCAAAAAAATTTTTAAATTTCTCTCTTGCATTGACACAATCAAGGCCATTAAACATTTTCTAACAAAATCATACTGGTTTTACTCTGTCCGTTTTTAACCTGCAATCAATATATGATAAAAACTGCAAGCATAGCTACTGACTGCATGTTTTAAAGCTTGTTCTTACGTAATTCCCCGTTTTTATCAAAATAGCGCCATCCACTTTGCTGGAAATTGGATTTTCTTTGAGCAGGTCTCTTTTAAATAACGTGCCGACCTAGGGAACGTTAATATTAGCAATATCAGCGAGTTCTTGACCGAGATTTAACAGAACGTATAAAAAGATAATATAACATCTTAAATTTGCTGTTCTAAAATGTTGTTTTTTATAAAAATAATATGCGTTTTACAAGAAATCAATTTATATAAACGTTTTATCAACTGTCAGTAAATTTCTTAGAAATATTTTAAAGAATGCAAATATATATAGCCAACTACGTATAGGTTGTCTCAATGCTTGTCGCGCATAATTCTTCTTATACCGAAATAACGTCTTATGTTTCGCTACAAAATTGAGCGCATCTTCTTAAATGGGGGTCGCTTAAGTAACGTGTCGCCACAGGAAACGTATAAATATCAGCAATCAACTGCATCGGGGTTGCTTCTCGAGGGGGGCGAGTCCTTTTCGTGGGGGTCTCGAGCGTGAGCGGGGGAGCAAGATGGTGTGCGCGGCGAAAAGTAAGCTCCATCGTTAGAGGCAACGACGAGAGACGACAAATGACGTGCCCTCGCTTCCGGTATGGCACGCGTCGTGGGTGCCGGAAGTCGCCCGTGCATTCGGGAATACGACATTAAGTCGCCGCGATATTTATACAAGAGGGCACAGCCCCCGATCTCAGACGTAAACCCACTCTCTTCGTTCTTAATTTAAACATCGCCATCTCTGGCTACGAAGAATCTTGCGTAAAAGCCGGCGCATGCTGGTACCAGGATCCACAGACGCATCCCTTGTAAGGGATTTTGACGCATGGCACTTTTTGACAGCTGAAACGCTGTGGCGGGTCCAACGATCCGATGCACGCATTATTTCGTTACACGGTAAAATTTCCGATAATCTTGTGGAAAAGGTAATGTTGATTACGGATTTTAGGGAGAATCTATTTCGGTGGAAAAAAAAAACAAACAAATAAACCGGTCATTTATAGGAAGTTCATTTTATACGATAGGTTTATTAAGTGACAAAATTTGGGCAAAATTTAATAAAATTAAGTTTTGAATAAAACGAAAATAAATTAAAAATAAGTTTTGAACGAATAAAACAAGAAATTTCAATCGGAAATAGAATTAACTTATTTTGTATCTGTAGATTTATCGCGCCACATAAAAAATTAATTCAAGGAATGAAATGTCATTGTAGTTGTTTTATAGAAAACAGAGTTCTTTGCGAAATAAAATATAAATTACGGAAAACTTGTGGATTTTAAAATTCCGAGGTGGTAAAGTTTTCGATCGAGACATCAGTATTAATATCTTTCGCTGCTGAATAAAAATCTAAATAAACTTCGGTATCTCGGAGAGAGAAAAGTAGAATTTTATAAAATATATTTCTCGCAATCCGGGATAAATCAGAATTAAATCAGAAACGATTTTATTGATTTTTTCAAATTAAAAAAATTAATATTATTAGAAAAATATATATTTAATGGGATAATATATCAACTTATCTATATCAATAGCTATTTTGTCACTTGTAATTTTCAATGAGAAGTTAAAGATTGAATAAACTAGAACATCGCGACTTTTGAAAGATGAATTCCGGGGTAAGAAGATTATCGTTTACAACGAGGCTCTGCAGTTTTCCGCCGTTATGAAGAAGACCGTAACGGTCGCCTTGAAGAGTTTCATCGATGGATATCTCGATATACCTCGGTCCTGCGGTCGAGCCCTTTTGAAAAAACGTCGACGAAAAACATTCCTTTTACCTGGAATTGCTTTCAAGAAACGCAGAAAATGTAGCGCGCCGATGCATTTTTTTCCCGAAGATTTGACCGGGTCTCGATTCAGGTCTCTCTTCTTTTCAAGGGGTTCCTTATATATAAAAATGCGTTAAATATATTCTTAAACGTTCAGCGAGAAAAAGGTTTAGCTTTTCTATTTCTTACGGTTGTCATGAATAACAACGTCGTACCCAACAAGTTAAAATTAATTGCCGATAATTATTTGCATTGAGTTTGAAAAAAATATAAATGAAAACGCGTTATCTCGCATCAGGAACGTGTGTAATAAAAGCTAGATATATATCTTTTTATTTTATATATAAAAGTTTTAAAAAGAAGTGAAATGATATAAAATAAAAATCAATTTCACGAATTGATCGAACCAAATTGTAAGTTTTATGTCGCTCGAAAGTTGTCATAAATTATATTTGACTCTCTGATAATAATACATGAATATTATGAAAATTTGACGAATTTTTAAGCTTTGAGAGAGTTTTTGTTATAATTATATAGCAAAAATATAGTATTATATAACAGAAAATAATAAAAATAATAAAAATATTCAATAAATTAAAAATTAAAAATTATAAAAATTATATATTTGCAAAAAATATAATTCTTTCTTCCACAATATCTCCGCAAAAATTAGCTTCGAGTTTAACGTAGAAGGTATGGCTGGAGGAGTCCGATGGGACATCCTGAATATACGGCGCGCATCCGGAAATCATGAAACACAAGAAATGGGAGGACTGTCCGGGTGCATCCCGATGCAGAAGCACCCCAAAGACGGCGATGTCGTCCTAGTAGGCGGCTATTTTTAGGGGCGATCCGCGGAACATCTTGCCTGTAACACGTGCCACCGTGTCGAGTGTTTTCTCTTAGGGGGACACGCGGAAGAAGGGGCCGCGATGCAGCAACACCGGTTCACGACCCGGGCACGCGACACCATCCTCGGCATTTACGTATTTTTGGAATACGCGTGATACATCGCGTTCGACGAAGGAAAGTCGAACCTCCCCCTTGCCCCCGATTTTTAACAGGAGCATTGCCCTCAGTTTGAAACTAGGGGGATTTCGAAACGGTTTCAAAATCTCGGTGAGCTCGAGCTTTTCACCGTTGTATTTTCGCGAGAAGACGCAATTGTGTAATCTTTTACTTACGTGACGGCCATTAAAAATTTTTAATTATATAAATGTAAAATCAATTATATAACGTAAAATTTTCAATTATATAAATGTAAATTTATTACGTACAATTCTTTTTATCTTTATAACATAAATATGCATAGAAATATTTTCTTTTAATATTTAATTTATTATAAATAATAATATCATAAAAAGAATTAATATATCTAAAATGTGATGAAAATACGTAATCAGTTTAACGAGTTATAACATAAAAAGTGTACTAATAAACAAGTTAAAATTCTGAGGAAATTCAAATATATGCCCGAAAGGACATCCTCTCAGAGAGTAGAGGAACGCGCGTTAAGATGGTGGTGCCGAACCCTCGAGGTATCGCAGCGGGGTATTTTTGGCGGGATTGGGCAGAAATACGCGCGCGGGACGAAATAGGCGGGAAGGGAAAATAGGGCTTCGACGCTGATTAATGGACGATGCGTGCGACCATGCAAAGGGCAACGGAGAGAGAGAGAGAGAGAGAGAGAGGTTTGCGAGCCGAGGTCCCTTTTCGTGGGCACGACAGAGATGGAGAGGAAAGATCAGCAAAACGGACAAGGGGATGGGGCTCTGTGGTGGAAAGGCGAGCGGGAAACAGAAAAAGGAGCTCGGGAACGTTGAAACGAAGCGATGGGCCCTACGAAAAAAAGCGCGCGCGTTTTTCGTCTCACCCTCCCTCGCCTCCCTCTCGCGTACGCACGTCACCCCAGTCCCTTCCACGCGGCCGAATTTCCTGCTTCGCAGTCCTATGGTAAGGCCCCGGCTCTCCCGCTTTCAGCATCATCCCCTCCAGCGCGGATTTTCCTATTCGGGAAGCTGCCTTTCGCTCGACAAACCACCCTTAGTAATACCTACGCCATGAAGAATAGTGATACGGTCCTCTTCTCGTGAGACTTTTTATTTTATATTGTGTATGTGTGTGTGTGTGACTTTGCTGAGTTTCCAGGAGTATAATCGTAATTTTGTACACTGTTATTATAATAATATGGCGTCTAGGTAATATATTTAGAGAGTAATTGATTTTTATTTTATATATGCGGACACAACGACTGTATATCTCCTTGTGCTTCACCAGATTCGATAATATTTTCTCTTCCATACCCCTTAAAAATTTACTAATTTAAAAATTAATACGATTAACTATATATATCAGCTATATCAGTTTCACATGAGATATAAAAACGCTCACAATATAAAATCTTGATTATTAATTAAAATAAATATATTTACATATCTATAATATTTTCATATAATTTCTCTAAAAAAAAAAAAAAAAAATAACTGATTATTCTGAAAACAAATTATTCAGATAAAAATTAAGTGAATATCATAGCGAATTTATTTGCAATCGATTGTCGGTTAGATTCAATCTTAAGCTTTTCCTTTGGCGAATCTTCTATATCCTTGAGATTAAATTAAAAAGAAAAAAAAAAGAAAAAAAGAACAATGAAATAATTTTGGCGCGTAATTTTCTCCACATTTCGGAACATCCTACTAACATGTACAATTTACATATGTTCACAGATGCTTTGGTTCGGTCGGATTTGGTGGAGCAAATCCCGAATGTGGCGATCATCTGTCTCGAGGCGCCGGATCTCTTTGGGGATGTTCTGCGCAATCATTTGCTCGGTATTATAATAAAGTACCTGAGTGATCCGGACAACCAGGCAAGTGTTTCTTGTTTTGGATACATTTCTTAGGACGAAATATACATACCAAGATGATGTAAACATTATGAAATGTTTTTGCTCCGCAGGTACGACAAATGGCTCAGAACGCGCTCATGACGATCGTGAAGCGGGATCTTCTCGACAATGATACAATCGAGCATGAAATCTGTCCCACGATAGAACATTTGTCCTACATATCGGCCGACGAGCATCTTCGTAACGCAAACATCTCCGTAAGTTTCCCGCGCTTTATTATTCCCTTTTTTTTTCATTTTATCTTCCGCTTTATTGTCAATAGATAAGGACACGAAGAAGGTTGTGTAAGTGAGATGTGTACTTTTGCTCGAATGAAGCGTCATTTTGAAAATACGCCTTGCATGCCAAGAACGATAATATTATGATGCTAAAAAACGAATGAAAAAAATATTAACATTTTTTTTTTAAATAAATAATAAATAAATATTATACTTGAAGAAAAATATTTTTCTTCTTTTCCTGAGAGATTTTTATTTTCCACATTTATATAAATCAGTATTCTCAAGTAAATATTAATTGTATGAGGATAATTTTTTGTCTCGCTTACAATCCGTCTTATGTGGAATTTTCGTTACTCGAAATGCGTGAAAAAAATTTTGGCAAAAAATCTCTTTCACGATCGCGATTAGAAATACATACGCGGCGCGTCGCATTTCTTCGTTTACGTATCGAGCAAACGAAACGGCCCTCTCCGTATCTACGGATTCCTCCTGAAAGACATGGGTAGTGAGATGTTCTCACGCAATCGCGTCTCACTATCTTGTCTTTCATGCGGCGTTCGTTCGTCCAGACGATCAATGTACAAAGAATCGGAAAATTACATGCGGTGAAAATTATACGATCTGTCGCATCAGCGAATCAACGTTGAGCATTGGAGACGAGGAACACGGATAAGGAATAGCGATAAAAACAGAGAAAGAAAAGTTCGGAGACGGGGTAAACGCCGCTTTAGAAGCGAGATTAAAGGAACGAGCGAATATTTGGCTCCGTCGTCGCTTGAAGATTTTCGTAAACAAAAAAGAAAGAGAAAGGAAGAGAGCAGAAAGAGCGTGAAGCGTTCGTGGAAAACGCAAATACCCCGGCATCCTGACGAAAGACGGGGCATACTTTTACCATCAAAGTTGGTTTGTCATAGAGTTCGACTATCACAGCCAGCTTTGATGATCAAAATTATGTCCGTTCTCAACGCGCTCCGATGGTTAAAAGAACGGAGTCGTGATGGTGACAAAAAAATAAGAAGGAGACACGCGAGCGCGTTAGTCGAGAGAATTGAGAGAAGAAGAGACACGTTTCAAAAAATAAGAAGGAGACACGCTCAGGGCACCTCATCGGGACACAGGGAATATACCTTTTGCGGTCCGATACATCAAATTGGTTGTGGAATGTTTCGAGTCATATCACAGCCATTTTGATGAGCTGGCCCGCAGAATCGATCGTCGAGAAGATTTCATTTTCCATTGTCGATAACACTGTTGAATCGATAACACTCGCCGGGAATGAACGAAAAATGAGAAAGAAGAGACGAAAAAAGATCAGCATTTTCCTCTCGATGTATACATATATACGGAGTGCTCAAAAATTCATGATACAAACTTTGCAACGCGTGTAGCACGTTTATCTTAATACGCGGGTTACGTTTATCTTGCCGAGTACTTTACACGCGTGCAAAATTTATATTATAAATTTTTTAACACTCTGTATATCTACGTAACATCTCGATCAAATCTATTTCGCAAGAAGGGGTCCTTCTTTAAGAATCGCTATCCGAAACATTGACGAACAGCATCCACGGACAGGAGGAACGCGATCCAATCGTCAAATTGGTTGTGGCGTGTTGCTCCTCTGAATTTCATATCACAGCCATTTTTGACGATTTGGATCGCCGTTTTATGCATCGGTTTCTCTCCATTTATCGCGGAAAAGAATATAATACGTGAGGAGATCTCCGGGGATTGCATCTTGGACGGCGGAGGAGAGTGTGTTTGCGTTGCTCACAAAGTGGCTGTAATATGCTGATATAACGATGTTCATATCACAGCCAGCTTTGATGAGCGTTGCGGCATTCAAAATTCAACGAGTTTAGAACGTGCGGAAAAAATTCTCCTGTTTTGATATACGATAAAATATGCAGGAAATGTATCTAGAATATCACGCTATTTATCGTACTTGCGCGCGATTGTTAATTGCTTAAATGTAATTATATTAATTTATTTGTCATATATAATTTGAATATTCTATTATTCTCTTTACATATGCGAGATCAGAATATGTTATCGTGTATCGTGAAATGAATGTAAAATGTATCTCGTCGTGCTAATATAAATAAGTGCTAATTCATGAATACGCTCTTACAGGATAGATTACAGGCTGATTGCATAAAATCGACTGTTCCTCCCATCAGAGTGGTTGTGATGTGGTGCTATTGATTCATATCACAGCCAGCTTTGATGAGCGGAACGGAACGATGTATCTCTCGCACATTCGAAATTATTTAATAACGTTAATAAAAATATTGTCTTCTAATTATTTATTTTATAAATGTAATCGTTTATTAATTTAGTTGTAACGTGTTTTTTTTTAAATCGATAATTAAGAGAATCCCTTTGAAATTATGAGCGTCACGTAGACATAAATAAATGTATTAAATAGTACACGGACACGTGCCATTTTACATTGAATTTCTTATAACGCTCGTAACAGCTCATTCCCAACATTCCATATTTTATATCGATTCGCAGCTCATGTGTCGACTAGCACCGCTGATTGGTAGCGAACTTACAGAGAAGGTCTTTTTAAGACAATACTTGGATCTGTGCGAGAATAACGATATGATGGTGAGGAGAACCTGCGCCACGCATTTCGGGGATATGTGTGTCGCTGTGGGGAAGGAAAAACTGTATAGCAAATTGGTGAGTCTTATTCGTAGATAGATAATAGCGTCAAATTGTATGGACGCACTTTTGACACATACGAATAATATCAAATTTACCGATATCATTTTATTTCTTGTCCTTAGATTCCTACCTTCGTCGATTTGTGCGGTGACAGAGTGTGGGGTGTTCGAAAAGCGTGCGTCGAGGTCATGATGCCGGTCGCTTGCTGTTCGACACCCGAGCAACGCCGATTGTTACTAGCGGACATATTAGCAAAGCATTTGAACGACGATTCCAAATGGGTGCGAATATCTGCTTTTCAGATACTCGGACCGTTCATATCGACCTTTGCCAAGCAATTTGCCGATGTTACTTATAATAAGCATGGCGAGTTAGTGTACACTAGTAAACAAGATAATCATCTCAGGTAATTTATATCGCGCACTTTGTTATTTCCGTTTCGACATTGCGTATATTAATCTCAAATAAATATATATCTTTATAGCCTATGTTACTCATACGAAGGAATCTTTCCTACAAAGGGCGCGATCAAAAGTCAAATATCTGATATGGATGATAATACCAAAAGCCCCTTTTACCTGCCTATGATAAATGTGAGACATGATAATGTTAAGACATCAGATTCCTCGGAGGGGAATGATTCCCAGAAGAAAGAAGAAAATCCCAATTGCTATTTACCTTTCCGAATTGTTAAACTCCAAGTACGTAATTAATAACATAAACTTTTATATGTATATGTGATCTTTGAAGATATTTAAATACAAAATCTTAATGTATGTGTATATGTGTATATACATATTAATGATGTTCTATGATTTGATTTTCAGAGCATGCGAAAAAAGCATAAACCTTTTCCTTTGCTCAAGACAGATGTGGACGATACGGAGAATTATAATCCATTTTTGTATTATTACATCCCTCCAGATATACCGTTGAACGACGAACTTACTCATGCTGCGAGGCAATCAGCGATGAATCGTAATAAGGAGGAAGCTAAGAAGGAAGCAGCAGATATATTAATGTTTCGACAAGAAGTCGGAAAATATAACGAAACTTACATCAAAAAGGGAAGGAGGAGAAGGCACAAAGTGAGTGACGAGGAGAACTCAAATACGGATGGGCAATCTGACGTCGATAAGCTCGATAATCGAAAGGAGGAGACAGACGACGATGATGACGGAGATTGCCTACCGTTATCGCAAGACACGACGGAATCTTTGGACGATTCTCAAGATTTACGGACGAATTTATGGACTATATATCATATGGACTCTATGGATAAGAGTGACGAGTCCTGTGATTTCAGCAAGAACTTAGACGCGAAGGATAACGGGCAACAGATTGTACCTCAGGAATTAATCAATTACTACGTATCGATGGCCGATCCGGAGCAATGCGTAGACATGGGTGCCGAGATCCCACATCATTGTGCCTTCAGTTTTCCCGCAGTCACGCTCACGCTGGGCGCGGAGAATTGGCATTATTTGAAAAAGGCTTATCAGTCGTTGTCGAGCGCGAAACATTGGAAGGTCAGACATACTCTAGCGTCCAGCATTCACGAGATCGCCATGATTCTAGGCGAAGAACTCACTGCCACCGACCTCGTGCCAATCTACGATGGTTTCATCAAGGATTTGGACGAGGTTAGAATAGGAGTACTCAAGCACCTCGCGACCTTTTTGAAAATACTCAAGCCCTCCGATCGCTGCCAATATTTGCCGAGGTTAAGCGATTTCCTCGCCACGGACAACGAATGGAACTGGAGATTCAGGGAGGAACTTGCTACGCAACTGCTCGAGATTGTGACTCTATTCAATCTAAACGACGTAGCACAAAGTATCGCGCCGCTATCCTTTCAACTGCTTATCGATAAGGTTGCCGCTGTTAGGAACATCGCGCTTGAACTAGTAAAGTCCTTTAGATTTTTCTCGTATTTCATATAATCGTTCCATCTCATAAATGTGAATCTCGATTGTTTCAGATTACACGAATTATGTGCTATTTATCCACCGAC